ACCACCAGCCACCACCACCAGCCACCACCAGCCACCACCACCAGCCACCAGCCGCCGCCGCCGCCGGACGTGGACGGGTTACTGACCGGTCTCCTCGGAACCCCCCCCCACCGGGCACACCAAGGCAGGCAGGCAGAGAGGGAGGGAGGTACCGGCGTTGTTGACGAGCACGTCGATCTCGCTCAAGTCGGCGGGGAGGGAAGCAAAGAAGGCCGACACAGAGTCCGTGGAGCACACATCCTGCGGGTCGGGTAGTGGCATGGGTGGTCGCCGTCGTGGTGCGTGGTCAGTGCTGGTCGCCGGTGGTCGGTGGTGGCGTGGTGGTGGTGGTGGTGCATGGGTAGGTCCGTCCGTCCGTCCGTCCGTCGGAGCAGGAGGAACCGGTGTGTGTGTGTGTCGTGTGTGTCGTGTGGCCGCGCCACGGCGCCAGCGCGCCGCCAGGAAAAAAGAGGAGGTGGGCTGGTGGTCGTAGCGCGTACCAAGGCGTCGGTGTGGACTTTAACGCCGTACGTGCGGACGAGCTGCTCACGCAGTTGCTCCAAGCGCTCCTTCCTCCTCGCTCCCAAGACGTGGGGACAGCGGTCAAGGAAACGAAAGGAAAACAAACAAAACAAAACAAAACAAAACAAAGGACTTGTGGGGGACGGGAGGGATTTGGGGGGGGGGGAAGAGGATATGAGGTGGGCTCCGGAAGCTGCCAGCACCACCGCGGTGGCCTCTCCGATACCCGCCGAGGCGCCCGTGCTGACGATCCGTCACACGCAACATGAACCATTGAACACCCACGCGCGCGCGGTTATGTGGTGGTCAGGAGGGAGGGGACTGAGGTGGGCTCGTACATAAGGACTACCTTGCCGGCGAGGCGAGGATACAGTTCGACTTCGGGGGTTGCGGTGGAGGTCTCCATCTCGAGATGTTTGCCCGGGCAGTGGGAAAAAGGATAGGAAAAAGGAAAAAAGGAAAAAAAGGAAAAAACAAGTTCCGCGCAACTCCGAGGACCCTATGCCCGCAGCGACGTGTCCACCCCAAAACAAAAAAGGCCGGGTCCGACGTGCATCAACAACACCGCCAACGACAACAAAATGGCAGCGGGCATGGGAAAGATGCTTATTATGGTACTGGTGGACGAACCCGTCTCTCACCGTTGTGCCGTTGCAGCTGACTTCTTGTCCCCCGCTGGCGCTGCAGCTGCCGGTGATTTTCCTCATGCGCGAGATCAACTTTGAGGACCCCACCAATCTCTTCTTCGTGCGGGTGGCGTTTGGCAGCGTTGCCGCGCTCTCGGCGATGACCCTGTACTACATGTACACTCGTATTCAGAGCAAGGCCGATGGCCAGCGCAAGATCATGGTGCCCCCTCCCGCCACGCCCTCCTGGGGCGCTGCCGCCGAGTACGCCTCCTCCTCGCTCCCTCCTCCTCACGCCGCCGCCGTGCGTGTGCACACCTTCGTTTCTTTTTGTTTGCCTTATCTCACATCCACCGCGACTGACATGTAAAC